AGTTGGTGACGACACTTGCAGTTGCACACCTAGTAGCAAACATGCAACTCCCCACTCCCAATCACCCAACAAAACAATAGAAGTTATAGTCAAAGCGGATACTCGCAGTTCCGCACCTAGTGATAGACATGCAACTCCCCCCTTGACAAAAACACCACTAGGAACTAGGTTGCAGTCACACGGGGTAGATATCACATTCTCCACCCACCCACCCCGGCTTGACCCTTTGGCTTTGAGACAAACCACGTCCGGAGGAAGAGAGGAAAAAGGTGGAGGAATACCATAATCCACTACTTCCACACTTACAACTTGATTAGCAATGCTTTAGTCAACAAGAACAATTACAATTATAACTTTAAAATAAATAAAAATAGAAAGAATAAAATGATGCAACAGACAGACAAAAATGAAAACACATTATTATTGAAATGAAAGGGTAATGCATAATAAATCAAAGTAAAAATATATTATTAATTTCCTAAAAAGAGAGGGAAAATAAAACAAATGGCAGAAACTAAAAACCAGGAAAAAAGCATTAAAATAAAAATAGAAATGTAAGACACAAGAGAAACAAAAAAGAATAAAAAAATAATACCAATTCAGATGCTTCAGTAAAAACTGGCCGCTCATATAAGAGAAAAAGGCTTGTGTGCATCCCTATCAACTACAAGGCCGCAATAGAAAAGGGCAAAAAGAGCATAGGCCAGGTCTAGCGTATTGATCACTCGCCCATAGAAAAAAGGCCATCATCCATTGTGTACGGCACGTCTGCGCGCCAACATCAACAAACAAGAAAAATGATACATTGTATGAATCTTTGTGTCAAGATCTTATAACTACCGAACGACTGAGACTTGACTAATCCTCATTTGATTGACAATTAGCAAATCCCAAAAAAAGAAAGCTAGCAAGAATCACACTGTTAGAAAGGAAAAAAGTTTTAAAAGATAAAAGACAAACAAAAACATAGAAAAGAAACAAGAAAAATGTGAAAATAAAATTAAACTTTTTTAGCAATAAAAAAACAGCTCATGCCATATGGAACAGAAAATGGAAAGAAAAAAAAGGAAAAATAAAAGCCCACAAGCTAAGCACAGGTTTAAAAAGTGAGATTCACTAGACAAGAAAAAAAGAAGAAGCAGAGAGCAACACGTACCTAAGGCCCAGAGTGAAGAAAAAGAAAGAGAGAACAAGGCCCAGGTAGAAACGGCGATACAGGTGCCAGCGACCTGTGCGAGCTGACTTGAATATATACGTACAAAAGACAAAAGTTCCAGCGGGAATCTTAGCACAAAATCTGACGATGAAAGACTCGACCGAGACTTTGTTAAAAATAAGTCGACTGAGTTTTAGCGCATCCGTTTTATATTTGCTTCCACGGAGTGACAATAGCTATTTTGACCTGAAATAATTAGGTGTAGTCATCCGATTAAGATCTTCACATTTTTCTTTGTACTTGCACGAATCTCATGGATGGTACATTATATGGGGGTAGGTTCGTAGGTCGGTAGGTGTATCGCAAACCAACCCATGTTTGATGGTTAGGAGGACAACGGTAGGTCAAGCCCACCAAAGTTTAAGTCCTAAACTTGACACCCGTGTTCGTATTTTTTTGAATTTATTTCAGACCTTCCAACAATATGTGTTCAATGGGAGGAGATATTCTTGTCAACTATGAAGACATTTGTGGCGTTTCGTTAATCTCAAGACGATATGCCGACTCATTCTCTCGAAGATACTCATAGAAACAAGATGTGCGTGTGTATATTCATATGTGTGAGTGTATGCGTACGCATGAGCGTCTGCACCTGTACTGTGTTAAGAAAAGCCGGTCCCTTTTATCCTCTTTCAAATTTTGTAATAACCAACCTTCGTATGAATATATGCATTTTTGGTGCAGATACCGAGAGAGTGGTAACTTTTTTGTTCGATTTCTTTTGCAGTGGGTCCATCACTTGTGTGAATACATTCGCTGACGAACATAACTCTTTTATTATTCTGGGGCATAGCTCGGATAGCTGCAACACCCTCGAGAAACAAAGGTACTCATACTCAAGAACATAACACAGAGGCAGTACATACACCTCTGAAACAGGGCGTTCCACATCATGGAACTAACATTATTCGTGCTTGATAAACAACACTCAGCAGCATCCATTCATCGCCAGCGCATCAAGTGGCCTCAGGGCTCAGTGGCTCAGGGCAGAGTGTAAGCTGCAAAAAGAGCAAGGATTTTCAGACAGGGAGCAACAGCACATAATTAAGCCATGGCACTGCCAGGTGACCCGTTTTGCGTACCTCCGCACTTGTAGCCGACCGGGCGGTCGACGAGGTTGCAGCGCTTGGGGATGGACATGGCGGCCTCCGGCTTGATGCCGGCGCTCTTGGCGGTGTCGGAGAGCATGACGGCGCAGAGGCACTTGGGGCTCTGCTTGCCGATGGTGTGCACCGCCGCGCAGCACCCGCTGGACGGCGCCGACTTGGGGTCCTGCCCCGCCGACGCGCACGGCGCCAGCTTGAGCGCCATCTTGTCCGCCGGCGTCTTCCCGCACTCGCCGGCCCCGTGCGCGCCGCGCGGCGCCGCGAGGCACGCCGCGGCCGCGACCACCAGAGCGAGCACCAGCAGACTCCTCATCGACATCGTCGCCTCGCCGCGATCGCTAATATGTCAGTGTGGCTCGGTATTGCTCACTACGTCTGCGTGCTGCTCGTAAGCTAGCTGCTGCCTGCTTCATGGCCTCGGAGCTGATGCTTATATAGTGGTAGCGTCGAGTGTGGCTGTGGCGACCGACCCGAGCTCATGATGGCCGCGGGAGTCGGTGGAGCGAGCACTGACGCACACCGGCGCGGGCTGCGTCGGCACGCGGCGCCTGGGCCAATGGCGTGGCGCCAAGCTCGACCAGGCCGCAGCTAGTGGGTTGTTGTGCCCTACGCGAAGTTTCGATACGTGCTTCCACACGGCGCGCCGCGCCGGCCGGCAGCTTAATCGTTAGCTAAAGGGTTGTTTGGGGCATGCGTGAAGCAGCCAAAGCACTGTGAACAACGTGCCTTGGGACGTTTGCTTTGGGGGCATGCGTGAAGCAGCCAAAGCACTGTGAACAACGTGCCTTGGGACGTTTGCTTTGGGGGCATGCGTGAAGCAGCCAAAGCACTGTGAACTAATAAGTGGCTGGTTTGGTTATGGGGTTGTTTCGGTGGATGCGGCACTTGGATTTGATATTGTCAAAATTAACTTGATTTGGGTCGGGAAGAAATTAAAGAAGTGGTCGTCCCTGGTGCGGTGTTGCCGCGTCGCCGTGTCGCCGGCGTCGGTGGTGGTGCCATCATTTTGTGGACCCGCCTATTTTCTGTACACCTCGGAGAGTTGTACTACTTCTTTTTTGGTTTTTCTTGAAAAAAAGTTTTTTTACGGCTGGAGACTTATTGTTCAAGTATAGACAGCCGTACGTTTTTTTACATCAAAGTACTCGTTATTGCAAAGTGGTCATCATAATATTTTTTACAAGAATATATCAATAATCTCTACAAGTGGATCTTCCGTCCACCCCACACACATCTTACTTTTAACTAGTTTGGCTAAATTATGAGCAACACAAATCGGTCTCTCTAGAAGCATGCTCAAAAACAACATGCGGGAAATCATACGCAAAGGTTATATATAGACAATCAAACTTGTTTATAAAGCTAGGAACCGTTTATGCGAATGTTGTATCTCGCTTGTAGCTCTATCTCGCCCGCGTATGGCCCGGCCTAGTTAGTAACGTGTGTGCTCGGATCGGGTCTGATCGCTGCTGCGTTAGTTCGTTTCTTTTTTCTATTTTCTTTTTTTCTTCGGTTTTTTGTTGTTTTTTATATATTTATATTTTGATTTTCTTTGCTTCTTCAATGATTTTTTGGGTTTCTTTCTTCCAACTTTATACTTTGTTTTTTCTTGGGTTTCCTTTTTATTCTTTCTCAGGTTTTATTGGTTTTTTAACACATGTCTAACTCTTCTCACTACACAGCATATATTTTTACTGCACACATGAAACATTTTTATGATACACGTTGGATGTCTTTTAAATACATGCCGCAATTTTTTTTAAATACATGTTTTGAACACTTTTTTGAATAATGGTATCATTTTCCAAATATGCATTGGTACCCTTTTTTTAATGACAAAAATACAATTTTAAACTACATGAATAATTTTTTACATTGTGTAAAAATATTTTTAAATATCATCAACATTTTGTGAAACGTGAGAATATTTTCTAAAAATGTCACGTACATTTAAGCGGTAATGATTGTATTTTCAAATTACACTAACATTTTTTTACATTGTACAAACATTTTTTTTAATTTGATGAACATTTCTTTGAAACACAAGAATATTTATTTCAAATGCCAGGTACATTTTTTAAATGGCAATAAACAACTTTTAACCTACACGAGCATGTTTCTATTTGTATAAACATTTTTATAAATGTGCATGAACAATGTTTCGAAACACGAAATTTTTTCTTTGAAATGTTATGTACATTTTTTTAATGGTACGAAACATTTTGTTTATATCATGCAAGCGTTTTTTACATTGTATACACATTTGAAAATAACACACAGTACTAGAACAATATCCCCTTTTGGTTTTCTGTGGTGCTGATCTTCCAAGCCGGGCGTGGCCACGGGGTGGTCAAAGGGAACGAGTAATGGCCCGCGGCTAGCTGCCGTCGCGGCGGCGCCGGGTTCGCAGCGTGATGGAGGCGTTGCGGATTTCCCGGAAGAACTCGTGCGTGTTGGTCTCCAAATCAGTGGGCTGCTCGTGCATGAGGAAAGCTTGTAAGGGTGTTCTCTCCGAGTCCATGTCTGGCCGAGTCGGGGACCTTTGGGGCTGCGGTTCTGGCGCCGGCCACCAGCGAGGCCGCATCTCGCCGTTGCTGATCTGGAAAGACATAGGGCGGCCGCCGGGAGGCCACAGGCGCCGAGGCAGAGAGTTTCGGCGTTGCGCTGAAGGGCCAGTTGTGTGTCAGGCGGAGGAAGAGCAATAGGTATGAATCTCTTTATAAGTAATTTAAGACTTATAAAATTATATGCAGTTAAAATTTCTACTTAGCAGATAACCTCTACATACATACTGTTGATATTCATGTATGGACTATTTGTAGGATGCGCCGTCGCTCGCTCCTCCCAGTGGCGTACCGCCACCAACCATACGTTATGCAGAGGGAAGATGTACATCGCAGCATCACCCCCAACCTCTTTGGCCGAATGGATTTGGCGGAGCCTGAACAGGTATTAAAATCCCTAATTTTTTCTCCATGTCACATCAGCTAAATTTCATTCCAGATTATAAATCGATGGGTAGAATCGTCATGCCGCAATCACTCTCAAGATTAAGTAAATTAGATATTTAGATCTCCAGGCTGCAGCCACTTTTTCATGGAGCTGGTAGAATAGAGATTGAGATTTGGGGACTATTCATTAGAGGGAATCTTAGAGTTGGGGATCATGTCTTCTGGACGTCTTAATATGAGAGAGATGATGGTAGATTCAATAAATTTGATATCCATTCTAAAAAAAATGGTACGATCTGTATTATTCGCTTTCAATTTATTCCTCAAGTTTATAGGAATATTAATGTACAAAAAAACTTATTTGTGGAAACACTAAAGATTTAGATACAGAATTGATGAATGGGAAATTGTATATTTTGTTGAAAGATTAAAGTACATATGTACACATACATTTATTTGGTTGAGGAGGCTTCGTTGATGCCTATTTTTTTAGAGAAACAAACCGTAAGAGAGATGAGAATGTTAGTGCAAGAGAGATTAGTAATCGCTAATTAGGTGGAATTCATTGGTGAACTTTCTCCAGAACGATCAAATATAGTACTGCATGTAGCTACCTAAAGATTTTTATCCTTCAGTTTCTTTTAAAGACGATAGAAGAGAGATAGAAATTATTCAGGGATAAGTAACTAATAAACAAAAAAAGTAATATTGTGTGGAGAGATCAAACATATATATGCTGATTAGCTACGTAAAATGAACACACCCACCAAGTACATATTTTGTTGATAACATGTGGTTAGGTTGTCTTATTTTTTGCGGGAAGATTGTCTTGATCAACTGCACTGTAAATTAGAATATCTCTTTATAAACAATATTTTTTGCGACATCTTCAGTTGGACACTCTTTGTCATTGATCAGCACCTTCAATCCTTCCTTGTTTGTCACTCTTGATAATGCCACATACAGTTGTCCGTGGCAGAACACTTGCTTAGGCAAATATATTCCTACCTTGTTTAAGGACTGACCTTGGCTCTTGTTTATCGTCATTGCGAAGCACACTGATAATGGATATTGCCTTCTTTTCAGCACGAATGGCCATTTTGAGTCGCTGGGTGACATGATTATTCGAGGTACGTATACCTTGTCACCGATGTGTGTTCCTGTGATTATTTGTGTCTCGATGTATTTGTTTCCAAGTTGTGTTATTGTCATTCTTGTACCGTTGCATAAACCCGCTGCTTGGTTGATGTTGCGCAGGAGCATGACCGGCAAACCCACTTTGAGTTTTAGCTCATGGTCTGGGATTCCTGGGGATGTCAAGGTGTTTAGGAATTCAGTAGGCTGCATGTTCATCATGATATTGGTGTTTGTCGTTGCCTTGCACACGGTGTCCAGGCTTAGGTATGTCACCTCATCACCTTGTATTTGGCTCATGATGTGGTCGTTTATCTCCTTGACTGTATCATTTCTTGGACAGAGTATTGCTCTTTCTTCTAGGTAATCCCGCTCACGGTATTTTTGCAGCAAGTTTGGATATATGCTTTCGACGATTAGTTCTTTATGATTTTCTCCTTTCTGTAGCAGTAGGTCCTTTGGTATTTTTATCCAATCCTCTCCTTCATCTGATGCTGTTTTCCCATCGCCAATTTGTAGTATCCACTCTGCAAATTCGGCGACCTTTTGCTTTTGTATTGGATCATCTGACAAACACTTCAGCCGCATGTTTTGTGTTAACTCAAATATTTCAAAGTGTTTCCACAGATATGACCTTTTGATTGTAGCATTAACTATTTGTTCTCTCCTTACTTTGGTTATAACCGGTAGGATTTGTCTGAAGTCGCCTCCTAGTATAATTGTCATTCCACCAAATGGCTTTTCGTCGCTGTTTTCGTTAGTGAACCTGAGAATATCTCTAAGGCTTTTGTCTAGTGCCTCGAAGCAGTGTTTGTTTGCCATAGGAGCTTCGTCCCACAATATAAGTGAGGTCTTCTTTAGTAGTTCAGCCAAATGTGAGCCTTGTTTTATTTCACACGTTGATTCTTCAGTTATATTAAGTGGAATGCGGAACCTTGAGTGTGCTGTTCTTCCACCTTGGAGAAGCAACGCTGCAATGCCACATGATGCCACCGCAAGCACTATCTTCCCCTCTGATCTTAGCTTCGTCGTTAGTGCTTTCCATAGATAGGTTTTTCCTGTGCCACTGTAGCCTTCGACAAATATCTGCTTTCCTAGCCCTTTGTTGACGGATTCCATTATTTTATCAAAGGCTTTCTTCTGGTCTTGGTTAAGATTGTTTAGTATGGTTTTGTGCTCATCCTTGAGTTTCTCCATGTCGTAGTTGACCTCTTCGTTTATTAGTCTGTTCCCA